TTATTTCATTCTAATCAAATGATTCAAATAAAAAACACAAGAAAAAGGTGTGAAATTTGATGGTTAAGTTTTGATGTGGTGGTACTTGTTAGTCAAAATATAGATAAGACCCAATATATTACTTTCATGAGTCTCGCTTGATATGATATCGGCGATGGCAAATAAAACCGCACAATTGTTGTTATATTTTTATTTTCGTATACAATCGGCGAAAAAATATATATGGTTGTGATAAGATTAGCAAGCAACCTGTGTGAAATTAAAAAACCACAACAAAAAATCACAAAACGCAAATTGAAATTTCGTGAAACAACAAATTTGCAGTCTGCTGGTTACCCTATCGCTATATTTGTTTGTTAATTGTTCATATGGTCTAATAATCAGTAAATGTTTGAAGTTTATGAATTCACCATACACAAGCTACTCTGAATAATATTTTATGACTAGAGTTCGTTCAAAGGAACTATTCTGAAAAGGGAACGATCGGAACTAAACGAACCTTTGTTTCGTACATCTAGTTTCCTTTGTTCCAGTAGTTTCTTTTTTTGTCTCATTCAATTAGTTCCTTGTAATCCAAGCGTTCATCTACATCTTCCCGTTCGTGAACTGAATTAACTGATACCAATGAACTTAGTTGAACTAAATTATGAGTTCCTTTTGCGGAGCGAACATTGAAAGAGTGAACATCTTCAGAAACGAGATTGCTCAACTCTGATTTCGTCTATTGAACATCGAGAAACTATATGTGGACCTCTTAAATTTTTTTGAACTGAATTTAAATTTTGTTCATATTTTGTTATCGTTTCTATTCAAAGTTTATGCTTATCATTTGTTTACCTGAAATGCTGTAATACCAATTGGCTTGTCAACTATTTACACATCGTAATGGCTTTAACTGAAGCTAATATTTATCCCAACCCTTTTTTACTGTTAAAAAAATAACCATTTGTTCAAATACACTTAATATGTCACATGTATTACATTTTTGTTGGTACCCTCACCACTAACAAAATTTCAAGGTTAGATAAGGTCTACCAGTCAACGGAACTTTACACAAGATTATGAAATTGAAATTGTGTGGTGACCACAAAGTTTCTAATTGTTTGTTTTTACGTTAAACCACAATTTGGGAAATTCTAAGTAAATATTTTAGAACAAAGGTAAGAAAACAATTTGAAAAGTTGTAAATGTTTTTAGTTAAATATATATTATATATATGGAAAATACTAAATAAGGACCATAAAGTAATTTAGACTAATATATTTATTCAAAAATTCGAATGTAATTACTGCTTTATATTTGCAATAGTCGTGGAATCGGAGAGTACGAGTGAAAAAAAAAAATTATATAAAACGTTTATAAGATACAAACACTTTTCAGTTAAAGACAAATTGAAAACATAAAGAAATATATGGAAAATTTGTATAGCGAAGATCTTAAAGAGCCCTTGGAGATGCCAACCATGATAGACTCTGTGAAATTCTTAGGCTGATTAAAAATTCCACCAATATTGGCATAGAACGACTTTTAATTTGAATTTCCTTCACCAAAGTATGAAATATGCTATAAAGAGAGTTTACAATTGAATTAGTTTTAAATCGATTTTCGAGAAGACACGAATGAGGTCTGATCAAAAATATCGTTAAGGCTGGATAAAAAATATTCATTAAAAACTATATTGTTTCCTTCAAAGCAATACCTAGCAACACCTATTACATCCTTAATCATAGAAAAATGCTTCTTTCATCGGTGTGTTCAAATTTTGTAAAGAGTAATAAACCAGCGGGTGCCAAGTACGGTGATTGAGGCATGACAACAGATTTGTTTTAGGGTAAAAACTCGAGCTTACGCACCGGTGTGTGTAATCTACTGCGTCATCATGGTGCAAAATCCATGATTGGGTTTTCCACAATGCTGTGCGTTTCTGGCGAATCGCTTCGCGCAAACAGCGCATAATACCTTATTAACCATACAACACTGTGGCAAGAATACATGATTCTCAACGCCATTTCATTCGAAGAAAATCGAAATCATTTGTCCGAACTTGACGAGTGGGCAGTCTCGAACTGTTTGAGGTTCAACTGGTAATAGCTTAGGCTATGAACTTGACCAAAGGTTTCGGTAGCACGGGTGTTAGGGATGCTGGATGTGGTTTATACCCAAATCGCGGGTAGAGTTTCGGTTTGGTGCGTAGTTTCATTACAACGGAGTGCCTGATTCGAAGAAAGGCAGGAGTTTTAGATGGGCTCCGCTCCTCAACCAAGGAGATTATGATGTCCAAATACATGTGACCGATTAGTACTTGCATTTTTGGTGTGGGGCGTTGGTTGACGCTTTGTATTAACTAGTGTTTACAGCACGGAGGGGTAAGACCGCAAGGTAGGTTACCCACGTACTCTAAGCATCTCTTTTCGAATTTGACGTGTTTCTTTCGGTCTTGGATCTTCCAGATGTTTTTATTGGGATGATTGGGCTTTGGTTTCAATGTCATAACTCTGATTCGTCACCAGTTATGACCTTCATCTTGCAATTTTGTGTTGAACGAAGGATAGTAACTTCGAATAATAATAATGATTTGGCCTATTCATTTCTAATCCCTCCTCCATAAGTTGTTGTGTATATTCAATTTGTCCTTTTCCGTTTGCACATCGGAAATATGGAAATCCTATAATGTATACATAGGTCTGCAAAGCAACACAAATGTTGACAGACCACTTAGCGTTCTGAGCCATTAACACACTTCCAAGGGTTACACAAAAACATATATCATGGGAGAAATTATAGGTGTGTGGATTAATTATCCATCTCTACATCAAAAAATCTGCTTTGAAAAGAACGGTGAAGCCAATGTCGGATCTTTATAAATTTGAATTTAATTTGCAGATGCAACTTTGCTTTAACTGGGATATAAATACAAGTTTGTCACATAATGGTAGGTAGGTAGGTTCTTCCCCTGGTTTTCCTTCTCATTGCAAAACTTCGATAATTAAACTCGACTCGAAAGAGAAAAATTGACTTAAAAATATTCTTGATCAGAATAAAATTCTATTTCGATTTCAGTCAGTCTCTCTGCTGAAATCAATCTGCTGACTTTGCAATATTTTAGATATATTTTTGAAATTTTGCACATACATTGCTATTACTCCGAGGAGGTTTGATATTCAAAATTTAATTTACGAATATCGGCCCACGTTTTGGTATAGCCACCATATACGATATTATGGGTTCTCATTAGGTAGGAAATCTCAATACCCAAAATGATCAATATTGGCTCAATGGGTGGAAAATGTTCATACCAATATTGGTCGACATTTTGGGATACTCCCCATATAACGATACCGCACAATATTCTGTATTTTGGAAATATTGGGTCAGTTTTTTTTAACCCGAATTGGATCTAATTTGGTATTTTGGGTTCTTATTGGGTAGGAAATCTCCATATCAATAATTATCAACATTGGTCTACTTTTTAGAATAGCCCCCTTCCAGCGGTTCCTCCCAATATTTGGCATTTTGGGAAGGATTTTCAATCGAATTGGTGTAATTTTGTATTTTGGATTCTGATTGGATAGGAAGTACGCATTCCTAAAATTATCAACATTGATTCAAGTTTTTGTTTAGGACCGACACAACGGTTCTCCACAATATTCGGTATTTTAGGGTGCATTTTTGAACCAAATTAGCTGTAATTTGATATTTTGGATTATCATTGGGTAGAAAATATCCATATCAAAAAATATCAAATCAAATTGACTTACTTTCTAGGATAGAGATTTTAGAGATTTTAAACATACTTTTTAACCGAATTGACTCTAGTTTGACGTTTTACAACATCGACTGTAAAAACTGATGGTTCAAAAATATTTACCATGGCAAGGCCCCAAATAAAAGGTCAGGGCGTGCATATAAAATGTTAGGTCCGACCAACTTAACGACGTTTTATTGTTTTATTTATCATTTTCATATAGTTCAGGGCCAAATGGTCAATATTGTTTATAGCTGAAATGAAAATAAACCAAGAACAGAAAATACAACGCCAAATTCTAATTGCATTTGAAGTTCTTTGCCACCAACAAAATTAATTTGCAAAATAAATATTTATAATTTCTTAAATAAATATGTATGTAAACAACAAAATGCACTTATTTACAGAGATATTCATTCGTACATATTCCTAAGTTGCTAAGGAGATAAACAAATTTTAATTAATGTTTATTTTCTTCTTCTTTTTTTATTATTTGCAGAAAAACCCCCGAGGGCAGTGAAGACGAAGTGCGACAATAGAAGCAAATGCAGATCAGTAATTACAACAATAATAAAAACGATGTGTGTGTGTGTGAAAGTCAATAACCAATCAAATGAATAAAACAAACGGAATCCAGATATGAAATCTACACACAACAAATTATAATCGCTTAATTAAATTGTTCAAAATAATAACAAGAGGAGGAAAAGAAGAAGAAAGCCAAAACGCAAATTAAATTAAAGAAGCAAAAAGTGAAGTGTCTTTATTTTTAATTTTTATCGAAGAGCATCTTGTTGTCATTACAAATCTGTTAAGTCATTTTTAAAATCCGTTAACAAAATATTTCATTGATGTGCTGCTAAGCTGAGCTGCATTCTTCGTGTATTGATATGAGTGATTGATAATAACAACAACAAAAGAAAATAAATTTCGTTTTCTTTTTTTATTTTCATTCAGGAGAAATTTGTCAAAATTAAACAAAAAAAAAAAAAATTCAAAATTTTCTAAAAAGTGTTCAACATTTTTCTATACAATTTTTCCGATTTCTTTCTTTTTAGTAAAAAATTAACAAAAAAAGAATATCCCCTACAACTTCCTCCAACCGCGTTCGGTCGTTTACATAACTTTTTTCTTTAAACAATTTCCGGTCGTATTGTTCTTCGTATCGCTGCAACGGTTCTTTTGTTTTTAATCCGACGGTAATGTTCGAACAAAAGCTAAACGCGCTGGTACGCGTTTCTCAACGGTGATAATAATGAATTTGAATCAACACAGTGGTCCTGGTCCGCCATCCATTGTAACGTCAGCTCTAACAACGTCTTTGTCGTCTTCGCTATTGTCATCGTCATCGTCATCATCGACATCAACTTCAAATCAAACAACAGAAATGCAATCAATGAAGAAAACCATGCAAGTGTCAAATTCAAATCCTCCACCTCAGCCCACGGCGAATGTGGTCAAGAGCATTAGGGCTGCAACAATGTTCACTACAATAAAAACAGCAACAACAAATGACAATAAATTAATATACGATCATGTTGATAGTGCCAAAAGTTTTAAATCATCTATACCAACAATAACAACAACAACAAGTACTTCCAACACAACCACGTTGTCCTCTTCCTCCTCCTCCGCCTCCTCCAAAAACAGTGGCCAATCAGCAGTACCACCACCATCCGCAGTTATGCGTGCTTATGCTACAAATCTGACCACCACCTCAACACCCACATTACTGCTGAACGGTAGTTGCGGTGGTAGTAGCAACGGTGCTACCCTAATATCGGGTGAAAATTCCACTACTTTAAATGGTGTTGATGGTGGCGGTAGTGTCCATTGCAATGGCAGTGCAACAACAAATGGTTGCGCACCTGCAACAACAACAACGAACACAACAACAAGTGGCATCCAACCACCACCAGTATCGCGTACAATATCCTCGGATCGTTTGGTAACGGGTCCATCGTGTAAGGCTTTGCGCACCGCGGTTTCAGCCTTGTATTCAGTGGATGATTTCGTTAAGGAGAAGATCGGTTCGGGATTCTTTTCAGAAGTTTATAAGGTAAGTTTCGAAAAAAAAGAGATTTTTGTGAAGATTCATGATGGAATTACTGAATGTTCGCGTTTCGGACATTCAACACACAACATACATGCGTTGACTAATAGCGATTTGTTCGCCTAGTGTAACCCGCACACAAGTGATGTAAATAGCCGTAGTTTTAAGTTTTCATGTTTAGTGTGTAAGTTGTACATAGTTTACTCTCAACACGAGCAGAAGATAAAATCCTTTCAACAATTAAAAAAAATTTTAAGGAACATCCGTATTATATAAAATATAGGCTTTTATTTGGAGAAGAAAAAAATAGAGGCCTGTTGGAAGAACTTTCGGAAAGTGAAGAACAAACTTTTCTATGTAGAAAGAAGTATAAATGTCGTTATGTTTGGTCGACCGAACTGTTTTTACCCACCGCAATAGGTAGACATTAAAAATATTGTAAATAGATAGGAACTTTTAAATATGGACTATGCCAGGGCACATTTCTGTTAGGTAAAATCCGAAATACCCAACTACGAAATCTCAGGATGGGAAATAAAGCTAAGACCTTAAGCAATCCGAATATATAGCGTGACCAGCTACTTTTTACTGCCAAAAAAATAGATCGTCGAAATATCTAACTAAAACGGTTGAACCTTTATAAAATATCCAAATGTGGGAAGTACTGTTATATGGGGGCTATCCTGAAAAGTTGACCCACAGAACCTAAAAGAACCTAAAATACCAAATTACAGCCAATCCGATTAAAAAACGTACACAAGCTCCCTAAAATATAGACATTTGGGAAGTATCGTTATATAAGGGTTACCCTGAAAAGACCAATATCGATCAATTTTTGTAGGAAGATTTGCTACGTAATGAAAAAAGTTCTAAAACTCACAATAGTTCCGAAATTTGGGAGATACTTTTATATGGGGACTAGCCTGAAGAGAAGACCAATGTTGATAATTTTTGGAAGGAAAATCTTCTCTAAAATTTCAAATTACACCCAATTTGGTTGAAAATCGAGACGGAAATCCCAAAACACTAAATAATGGAGGGAGTACAGTTATAGCGGGCTAATCCGAAAAATGGACCAATATTGATAATTTTTAGTAGGAAAATTTACTGCTCAATGAGAATCTTAAATACCAAAGTACAGCCAATTCAGTTCCCTAAAATACAGAAATTTAGGAAGTACCATTATATGTGGATAAGACTAAAAAGTGGACCAATATTGATTGTTTTTTTTTGTAGATAGATTTTTTACCCAATGAGATTCCAAAATACCAAATTACAGCCATTCCGGTTGAAACCCGAAACAGAAAATCTCAAAATACCGAAATTTTGGGTAGTACCTATTATAGTGAAAAGTGGACTAATATTGATACATTTTAGTAAGGAGATTTCCTATTCAATAAGAACCCAAAATACGAAATTAAAGCCATTTCGTTTGAAAATTGTGCCGAAATATCCTAAAATGCCGAAATTGGAGAGGTACCGTAATATAGGGCTAACCTAAAACTTTAACCAATACTAATAATTTTTGGCAGGAAAATTTGGTACCAAATCGGTACTTAAAAAATAACAAAGCGGCCTAAGCTCCCTAAAATACTGAAATTTGATAGGTACAGAAATACCTAACCTGAAAAGTTAAACAATATTGATAAATTCCGGTAGAAATATTTTCTCCGTATGAAAACGTAGCTAAAATACCGAATATTGGGAGTATCCGACCGATAATTTCCATTTTCCAATTACGAAACATACTTATAGTATTTGTAATGTATGTATGTGAAGTTTTCAAAGCTATTTCTCAAATAATGCGATAGAGACAGACTCTCTTATTAATCAAAGAGAAAGGTCCTCCTATACATAGAATAGAGCAGTGCTAAACAGAACTAAATTGAGAGTAAGTGCATGAGAGCGTAACTGAGATATCATAATCAAAAACGACTGTCGAAAAGAGAAAATACGTGTCTAGCTATCACCGCTATCGTACTATCCCAGTGGGAAAAGTAAGAACGTATTACATTGAGAATCGATTTAGTAATGCATTATAATCATTACATTATATAATGTTTTCGGAAGAATCGTTAGTTAAATTATTAAATAATTTAATTTAAATTATTTTATATATAAAATAGAGGGATACATAGAATCAGGGACGTACGCAGGGGGGAGCCGGGGGGACCGGCTTCTTGTTTTATACAAAAGACAGAGCCTCTTCTTTATACAGAAGACTCTTTGGAGAAGAGCTATGATTTCCATGCATGCATTTAATGTCGTATTATATATCCAACAAATTACCTAACAATTGACGGAATATTTGACGAAAGATATCAATTTAGAAAGTATCACCATCGAAATCATAATCACTGGACAGCAGCAGAGCAAGATCAACATCAGCATTGCTATGGATAATTGGAAGTCCAGCCAATGGCCATCATCTATAAGCCGTTATTACCACCAGAAGGCAATGAATTGAAATGAATTCGTTTATTTTGTTATTTGGCTTGTAGGGGAAATAATTTTCAAGTCTGGTCTGGTGGCTGGCTGGCATGCATGTCTGAATTTTTATTTTTTTCGTATTCACAGTTAGTTGGCTAAATCATAGCGTGGCTTAAACAAGAAGAAGATGAAAATGAAGCACAACACAAGAAAAGCAATAAAAATGAAATTTTAAAACAAATAAAATTAATTGTAGCATTTAAAGACATAACGAACTATTCGGCGATGAAATGAAAAGTTATTTTCTGACGAAGAAGAAAAAAATAAACGTTTTGTGGTTGCCGTTATTTTAACGTTAAATGGATGATATGGTATATTTGTTGGGAATATAAAAATAGCGTTTTAGGGATATAATTTTAATTTATTGTTTTTGTGATATGAAGTTTATACTACAACTGTCTCTTAATTTCAAAAAATTGATAAATTAATGTTTGTAATTAATTTTATTAACTAAGGTAAATATGTGAGCTTGCCCGAAGCTGGGTTTTGGGGGTTTAAATTTATAGATTGGAATTTGATTTCATCTCTTCGTTTCTCTTTTCTGGGAAATTATGTAAAAAAGTTAGTATTTTATTATTAGTTGGGAATGTTTTTAAGGTGTTTATGCCATAATTAGAGAAAACTTGCCTATGTTTACATCTGCTAATCTTTGGAATCTGTGTGAGAATATTATCACGATTTTACTGACAAATTATGTTAATGGAAATTTTCACAAAAGTGAAATATTATGCCCATATACATCTAAATCACCCAAACAAATATCTTTACAAGATATGGTCAGGTCATTGCTTCAAAGATATGTCTATCTTTGCTATGTCTTTTTGTTGTATTATAATAAATTGTTAAAACACTCATCTAACATAATTAATTATTATAACAATACACAAAACAAAAACACACAGCTTGATATATAATCTAAAACAAAAGCCTTTTGGATGTTACCAAAAGCAGTTTTACCCACAGTTTCACTTTAAAGAAATTTAATGGTCTGTTTTTTTTTTCTAAAATGCATATTTTACTTCGGCAAGAGAAACCCAACAAAAATTCAATGTTTTGTTATAATTTTAAATGGCAGAGATTTTGTTTTTGTATCCACAACTACTTTGGTGTTTGCAGTGTTGCTGTTGTTTTATTTTTTATTGCAGTTTTGTAAATTAAAACCAAAAGGAAAATGAAAAAATACCTTATTTCACATAATGTAGATATTTTCACTTTTATGCGAGGAATGCACTATAATAAAAAATAGTGAAGAGCAAAAAATAGTATGAAAATAAAATAACATGGGCCACAGTTCCATTGTTTTGCAAAAATGCATCTTGAGAATGAATGAATTACCACAACCATCACCTCACCATCATCATCATCATCATCGTAGTCACTACTCTATGAATGAATTTTAAGTTATGGCCTGGCCTGTGTATGTTCACCATGTGACGTACAAGATAAAAAAATCACACACACAAAACATGTCTGCTGGTAATCTATTTTAATTGTTTAAAAACAAATATTGAAAAAGTACATAAAATAAATTCAACATGTTATGTCTTTTGCGGTGCTGATTTAACGGTCGTTGATTTTTACTAATTTATAAAGAGCCAATTATCAGTGAAAAAATTAAATTTTAATTAGCTCACCTCAACTGGTATGTAGACTGTGAAAATACAAAGGGAACACATAATAAACATTTTTTAAGGAGTTCTTTGTAATTTAATTGTCAAAGGCCTGTTATACATTAAGGTATACCCAAAAATAAACAGTTAACTGCCCATAAAATGGACAAAATAAAACAATCCCTAGCTTAAATGTTAGATTTTTAATAAGCCCAAAAATTGTTGATTATCGGTACAGATGTTTTCGAGTTGTAGTTGCCATGGACTCCAAAAATGCTATTCCGAGGGGGAAAACGTGTTTAACCTTACCTTAACTTCCTTCTTCCACATATAGGCAATTTTCTTCAGGGATGTATATTTTAGAAGGGGTTTCTATTAAAGGATGAAAGTCCTGATTTATATTAGGCGAGTTTACTTGCGGCAATTATTATCGTTCCCTTTTGAACTTGCTTCATGCGTCTATACAAGGCAATTCGGTTTCAAGAATATTTCTGTTTTCATTTGATGTCAAAAGTTTTTTTTCACATTTAAATAAATATAAAATGTCAACAAATGCGAATACACAAAACGAATTGCCAGAAAATTGTCGGTACGAGCAATTTTTTTCCATTTCTATTCCCCTTGCCCCTCTCTCCTAAAGTCAAAGACTTGCCGCAAGTAAACTCGCCTAATCTAAATTGGGACAAAGACCCATTTTATAAATGGTTATCCTTTTTAAGGGGACCCACACATTCTCGTTCTTAATTCGAATCTACTCTAATTCTAAAATTTCCCTACAAAATTTCAAGTGAAAATCGCAAGAACTCTCGAAGATATAACCGATTTATTGTGTCAGCATCAAGTGACGGCAAGAGTGATTCTCAAACTATAAACGCATTTTTCTCGAAGCAGTGTTTTACGAATGGC